CTTTGTCCACCACTGTGTATACCCATTTTCATCTCACTTCTGAATTTGTCAGAAATGAGTGGAAATAGTAAAAATATATTAGTTTTRAGGTTACAACTTAAACACTAAGGTACACTTTCAAGTTTACTGCTGATATTTTTAGTCGTTGTTTGGCCATCAGTATATCAGCTCTGATCATTAAGTTTTGTTTCCTCTTGTTAACAGCTTCTGGTGGGAAAATGAGTGAAAAAAAATTTATTATTATTAGGCAGAAATGTGTCAGCTCAAACAATTTGCTCCTGCAAAGTTCTGAGGATCTCAGGCTAATAGTAATTAGTGACCTACAACAAATGATTTGCAGTTCTAGCTTTATTTTATTTATAGAGCTTTTACCCAGAACAAACCATCTAATTGATTTTATTACTGTAACAGAACAGATAAGTATGCCAGCAGTTTACCCAACGTCAGAATTTCAAAAAAGCCTCTTTGTGGGTGGCGTATGCTGTTTTTTGATTGACATTGCATTTTCAAGACAAAAATAAGTTGGTTTTATCAAATAAATATTATTATTTTACATTTATTGCATTCTTCAAAACCTGCAGTGCTTTGCTTTACACAGCTCTGCCACAGTATGTGTCTGAACACGTGCTCTTTTAGTATTTTTCACATTTTATTTTATTTTTACAATTTCTTTGAAAAGAACTCAAACAGAAAAGTGAAATATGACTATGATTTTACTGAGATTGTGAGACAAAGGTCATTCCCAGCATAGTTTCTTCCTTTTTATGACACAATAAATCAAAAGAACCAAAACAACTAAACTGTAAGCTTTGTGCAGATTGAGAGATGAGAATATGTTTTTATCCAGTTATACAGGTGCTGTAATAAACAGCACTGCTGGCATCAGAGAGAGCAGATATTAAAGGACTGGTCCCATCATCAACACTAATACTGCTGACAGTGCTGTTATTGCTACTGCTTGCACTGCTGCTGCTACAACCAGTCAGGATTTTTGGCCCAGCTCCAAAGTCCCCACCAAGTGCATAGACCTCCTCTCGATTTCTCCCCATGTTTACATACTGGTCAAATTCATGCCTGTCCACTGCAGACCAATAGTCTGCAGAAGACCCCATTTGCCCACTTGTCTCTATGTTTGAGTGCTCTGAGTGCATGGAGCGGACAAAAGTCGCTGAAGGGGAAATGCCTGAGGACAAGCAGGAATTGGGAGGAGTTTCGGGGGGAGGTGAAAGCTGCCCCAGTTGACAGGAAGTGAAATGTGTAGCAGTTGTGGTGCCACTCCCATAAACTTGGCCAAAGTAACCAACAGGAGCTGTGCTCAGGGTTGTTTGCTGGCATTTCACCGGCTCAGCGAGGCTGAGGGCGGGATGAGGGTAGGAAACCAGGGAGAAAGAGTCAACTACAGGTGGGGGACATTTTGCAGGATTCCTTAAAGCTACTTGGTGAGTGGAGGCATGAGTGGGATTCAGTCTGGAGGTCATGTTTGAAGTCATATTTGATTCAGCAGAATTTATTCCAGAGTCAAGTCTCAAATTTCTACCTGGACTACAACTGGAATTTAAAGCAGCGCCAGAACCTAYAGCATGGATGGAACTGTGGGGACTGGAACTAGTGTAGTGACAGCTGTACGGCTGGTTATGGTGATGGTGAAGGTGGTGATGGTAACCATTCCAACCTCCTAGCCCTGCCTCCTCTTGTATGTGTTGAGGGAAAAACACAGACTCCCCTGCTCCATCCTTCAGAACATCAAGAGGGGACATCTCTGGAGTGGGTAATCCATAACTCTCCAGCTCTGGTTGTCCTGGGGCCTGGAGGTCCCTGAAGTGCCCCAAAGATGGTAGAAGGTGGTGGGGAGAGTTATGGTGTGAGGGATGTGCAATTGGATGTCCATAACCAGAACTTCCAGAGACACTTTCTGTACTGAAAGGCGAGACACCATGTCCTAAACCAAGACCCGATGCCCCACCCTGAGTTAAGCTGTGCATCAGGAGGCCTGGTTCAACTCGCTTCAGTTTTTTGGTGGTCTTTTTGCGGCGTGGCCTGTACTTGTAATTTGGGTGATCCTGTAGGTGTTGGACACGAAGACGCTCTGCTTCCTCCACAAATGGTCTTTTGTCGATGGCACTCAGGGCCTTCCATGACTGGCCTGAGGGAAACAGAGAAGGCAAATGAAAGACAAATACGACACATTTCAGCAAGAAAAATAGGGAGAATATTGGATTGTACAACATGTTTTTATTGTGTCATTTAACTTGTAAAGGTTTAGTGAAGTTTATAGTCTTGTTAAAAAAGTCAATTTTTGTTCTGTTCTACACTGTAAAAAATCCAACTTCGTTTTTTTGGGATGAAGAACAATTTTCAGTTGAAAAAAACTTGAAAAACTAAGTCAGACATATTGGGAACAATAAGTTAAGTCGGTCCAAAAACGAAGGCAGTTGTAATCTTAAACATTATTTTATGAGTTGTCAGTATTTATATCACTAAGTTGTGGGTCGTTGCAACAGTTGAAAGTGTTGCTAACTTACATTATTTTGTTGTGAAATGCGGGAAAGACAACTTTGGGAGTTGACTTTTGAGTTCAAGGCATAGTGAACTACTCTCACAAAGATAACTTTTGTTCTTATACTTCTGGTTTGTATTCAGTCCAAACTTTTAGTGCTAATAATGTTTAAAAGAAAGAGCAGAAACTCGATTTGAATGTATTTGTTTTCCCTCTTCCTGCTTCTTCCTCCTATCAGCTCAGATGTCAGAGTTCTGGCTCCGCCTCTTTCTTGCTGAAATGGATAATTCAGTAATAATTAAAACTCACCTCTGAAAAAGACAAACACTTTAATCTGTGATGCATGAACCATTTTGAGTTGTGTTCTGTTGTCACATTCAGGCTTGATTTGGTATCTGTGTTAAGTTTTGGTTACTGACTGTAGCCGACACCACAGATATATAGAGGGGAAATGGCCGGGACAGTTAAGTGTCATCAAGTACCAATCCTGACGACTGAGTAAGCTGTTGTCTACATTGACACAAGCTCATTCTAATGTAGTCAGCAGTAGCAGATAATTCTCTGCTAAACATTTTTCCTACAAAAAAAATCATTGATGTGATGATAAAATTTAAATTACTGCAACTCAGTGAAGGTCACAGAATTCAGGATTTATAGTTGTTAAAATTTTTAATAACTGGAGTAAGAGAAACATGAGATTCATAGTTTGTACAACTTAAATTTTAAAGTTACTGCTACTTTCATGTGAAGTACAAGACAGCATACAAAGTTCTTACAACCTAAAACTTTAAGTTTCTACAACTTCTGGTTGAGTTACAAAAACAAGGAAATCGAAGTTTGGTAAACTCAAAAGGAAAAAAATAGTTAAGTTGAAGTCCAAAACTTAAAAATGCCCTGAAGTTTGTTGCCTCACAATTTTGAGTTCTGCCAACTTGTCTTTTTTAACAGTGTAAGGTGTTATGTATCAGGGCATAATAAAAATGATTCTTTACCAGGTTCTAAAATGATGCAAATCTAATCTGTAGTATACAAAAACACCCAGCAGGTTCCAACATTTCATTATTTATTAAATAAAACAAAGCCAAAATTGAAAAGTTATGTGTGRAAAAACTGTGTCCGCCCTTTCTGTCAAACACAAACTGTCAGTTTGGTGGTGGAGGCTGATTTGGGTTTGTTTTTCAGCCACAGGACCTGGGCTCCTTGTAGTCACTCAGTTAACCATGAACTCCTCTGTAGACCAAAGGATTCTGGAACCAAATGTGAGGCCATCTGTCTAACAGCTGTAGATTGGAACAAACTGGGTCATGACGCAACAGATCAATAATCCTAAACACAGCAGCTAATCTGCAACAAAACAGCTGAAAAAAATATATATAGCCTATATATACACTCACCGGCCACTTTATTAGGTACACCACGCTAGTAACGGGTTGGACCCCCTTTTGCCTTCAGAACTGCCTCAATTCTTCG